GGGGCCTGAAGGGCAGTTTAGGGCACAGAGAGGAGCCTGGGGGGTGGGAAGCATGGGGCCCAGCAGAGGGCACCCTGCTAACCCAGCCTCCGCACCACAGTGACATCATCAGGAACAGTGTCTGCCTCTTGCTCGGACCCAGAGCCCTCACTGGCCTCTCCGGGGCCCACGGGCAACCCAGCCTCCCTTGGGTGGCTCCTTTACGGGTGTTGGCGCAGCCCAAGGCCCACGGCAGGCACTGGGGGCGAGGAGCAGCCTGTCAGGCGGGTCTGGGTGGAATTTCAGGCGCTGCAGCTCAGCCCCTCCCCCGCCCTCCTCGCCTGGCCTGCCAGTGGCCTGAGCCCACAGAGGCCCCAGCTTACCTCCCAGGGGCCCCGCTGCAAGATAAGGATCACACGGCCAGCACAGCAGGGCCACAGGGGAGCACGTCCCTGGTCCATGCAGGGCGAGGACACAGCATCTGCAGCCCCCGAGTGAATTCAAAACCCGACTCCCACTTCCCACTGGGCGGCCAGGGCAGGTGATGTGATCTCTCTGGGCCTCAGCTTCCCCATCTGGAGAGTGGGCTCCTTGGGGTGTGATCCAGGTTACACAGGCTGTGTGAAAGTGACTGGAAGTTAGCGTCTTCTCTCCTAACTGCAAGGACGTCCCTTATCGGGTGAGCTTCAGCTCCTGGCCTCGAGGTGGGGGACCCTCCAAAGCCCCCTTCATTCTCAAAGCCCTCACCCCCCTGACATAGAGCCAAAGCAGGCACCCCCACTCCCCCGGCCAGCGGTGGGGGTGCCCAGAGTCCAGGCGGTTCTGCGAAACGAGTCTGAGGAGCCCCACCTTCCCGCCACTCCACCCGCCACCGCATCCCAGCTGGCCTCACCAGGCTGGCTCCCATGGCTGCCGCAGGACACAGGACCACACTCTGTCCTCCGGCCAGGCCCAGTCTCACATCCAGAAGTCTCAGCTTCTCCGGTGCTCTGATGCTTGACCCCGGGTTCAAGGACCCAGCTGAGAGCCAGACTCCACTATCTAGTCTCCCCTTGGGCAGCTCCAGCGATGTGCTCACCCCGGCCCCTGGCTTCTCTTAGGGTCACAGGGCCTGCTCCCCTCAGTCAGAGATGCCCCTCCCAGCCCCACCCCCCAGCACCCACTACCCCAGCTTCCAAGATCCCAGAGCAGTCGTGCCTCTTCTGCGCTCAGTGTGTACGAACCCCGAAGCGGGCTGGCTCCTGTTGTGCGGTTCACACCGTGATGGCATGGGGGGCAGTCATTCCTCCTGCCGTGCGACATTTGGCAGCCAGTATTGGGGGTTTCCAGGTTGAGTGAACACTCCTGTGCGTCTCCTCAGGGCAACCTTGGAAATGTAAATGAGACTGTGTCCCCTTGTGAGGCCAGGGCGAGGACTCAGGCATGAGCCTCGTGTGATGGGGCCGTGGACAAGTTTTTTTTTTTTATTTTATTTATTTACTATTTTTCTCCCAAAGCCCCAGTAGATAGTTGTATGTCACAGCTGCATATCCTTCTAGTTGCTGTATGTGGGACGCGGCCTCAGCATGGCCGGAGAAGCGGTGCGTCGGTGCGCGCCTGGGATCCGAACCCGGGCCACCAGCAGCGGAGCACGCGCACTTAACCGCTAAGCCACGGGGCCGGCCCCATGGACAGGTTTTGAGCAGAGGTTTCAAGGGCCTGTGCTGCCGCTGTGCAGAGAAACGCAACCTGGTAGTGGGGGTGGTGGCAGGGAGCCCGACGCAGTGGCCAAGCGATGCTCCAGCGGTCCAGTGGTGGCTCGGGCCCAGACAGGCATGGCGGAGGAGGGAAGGTGAGATTCTGGGCGTATGAAGAAGCAAAGCCAACAGTTGCTGCTGATGGGTCAGTGTGGGATGCCAGGAGGGGCATTGGGAGTGCCAGGAGCCCAGCTGCCTGTTTGTGGGGTCCAGCAGACCCCCAGGCTCTTGGGCTGAGGACCAGGAGGGGCCACCTCTCCCTGGCTTAGAGGCGAGACCCAGAGGGGAAGAGGGTGGGCTCTGGACCCAGGCGGGTCAGCATAGGATCGCTCTGTTCTTTGTGAGATTTGGGGTGTGGGGTGCTCAGAGCACGGGTCCCCTTGTCCATACAACGAGGCTGGCAGCAGACCTCACCCTGGGCTGTGATAGACGGGCTTTGCCCAGCCTCAGTAAATGCGAGTCAGTGTCAAAATGAACATCCACGATTTCTCAGACCCGAGGTGGGCTGGGGACGAGAAGCTGGGGCGTCAGCACCCCCAGCACACACACAACACGTGCACACACAGCACACAAGACACACGCGGCACACATATACACATACCACTCATGCACCACATGTACGCACAGCACACACACACGCACAAATGCACACGCAGCACACAAGACACACACAGCACACACATATACACACAGCACACATTCACCACATGTATGCACAGCACACACACACATGCACAAATGCACTCGCAGCACACAAGACACACGCGGCACACACATATACACACACCACACATGCACCACATGTACACATAGCACACACATACACACACACCACACATGCACCACATGTACACACAGCACATGCACACACATACAAATGCACACGCAGTACACACATATACACACACCACACATTCACCACATGTACACACAGCACACGCACACACGCACAAATGCACTCGCAGCACACAAGACACACACGGCACACACATATACACACACCACACATGCACCACATATACACAAGCACACGCACACACACCCAGCACACACACAAATGCACACGCAGCACACAAGACACACACAGCACACACATATACACACACCACACATTCACCACATGTACGCACAGCACACACACACACCCAGCACACACACATACAAATGCACACGCAGCACACAAGACACACACAG